CCGCGGGGCCCGCCTGCCCCTCCGACCCCGGCCGCAGCGAGCCCGCCGCCCGCACCCGACCCCTTGGGATCCGCCCTCCTGGTCGCGCCGACGCTGCCGGGTCTGAGAGCAGCCGGGCGGGCCTGGGCCACGCGGACGATCGCCAGGACCTAGGGAAGTGCAGACGCCGCACCGGGGGCCTTTCTGCGATGCGAGGCCCGTAGGCGCAGAAACCGCTGTTAGTTTGGGGTCGTGGTTGAAAAGCATTCCTGTTGCCCCGGTGCGGAACGCGAGTGGAAGATTCGAGGGTATCGGGACAGATCCGAGGACCCCACAGTGGCGAGTTCATGCCCTGCTCGCAGGCAGAGCCGGGTACGGTGGAGAGAAGCGGGCACCTGCATCTCCCTTCCGCTGGCTCGGATAACGGGAGTGCGCTGGGTGAGCTTAGGGGACCCTCCTGGGCCAGCGCCTGCAGCGGTCCGCCCGTGTCCGCGCAGCTCACGCGGGTATGTTTTGTCTTCCAGACGGATAATAAAGAAGTTTTCCACGAGGAGTTCGTTCATTGCCTCAAGTACGCTATGGTCGTCTATAAACGTGAGCCGGCGGTGGAGAGGGTGGTGGAGTTTGCAGCCAAGTTCGTGACTTCCTTTCACCAGTCCGCTGAGGAAGACGAGGAGGAAGAGGACGACGGCGGCATTTTAAATTATTTGATTACTTTTCTCTTAGAGGTAGGATGGCAAACTAGCGTTTGGGGGAAGGGGAACATCTTGCCATACTAAAAAAAGCGGGGAGAGGGCAGGAGCTGGCAGGAAGGTGAAGACGCTGGACTCTCACACTGGGGAATCCCATTCCAGTCCTGGATGGGGTGGTTTGAAAATCACTGGCCCTTGTGCCTGCATGCCCAGATCTGGAGACTGGAGAAGGGATTGCACGTGACCACCCCCGGGGTTTCTTACTTTCCCTGTCCCTGTCCCTCTTGGACAAGGGGACACAGCCTATGGCAAAAACCTAAAACAGAACAAAAGGCCCGGGGTGCTAGGAGGCACCCGGCAGCAGGGCAGGTACCCATGGGGAAGGCTGGGTGCCTCTTGGGGAGCAGGACTGACCCTTTACAAAGACTGCCAGGGTCTGGGGGGATTGCAGTGTGGGGGCTTTCGGGGGTGGTACGTGCACTCCTAGAAGAAACAAATGTTAGTGAAGGCACCATGGGAATTTGCGCATTTTACACAGTGAAATATCTGACGATTGAGGAGAATGCCTGAGAATGATTCTTCCATAGGGATTAGAATCGTTAATTATTTTAAAGAGAGATTTTGCTGTAGGGCGCTTGCATGCACCAGATAGATAGAAAGCGAAAAATCACCTCCTCTGGGGGATGGCCATGCCACGATCCCTTCTCCTCCATTCTTCACTTGGGATCTTGGGCACGTGTGCACGCCTGTTCGGCAAGAGTTTTAAGCCACCAGGAATGGGACTTGAACCACGGTCGACTACGTGAGGGTCCAACGATGTAACCATTATGCCATCTGCTAGTGCCAGAATTGTTCCTATTAAAAAGTGAGTTTTTTAAAAAGTCGCTTTCATGAGAACACGTGTCTTCAACAGGGTCGCTCCCTGCCACCTTCCCTCTGTCTCTCCCATTCAGCCAGGATCTCCCAGGAACCAAAATGATATCCCCGTGGCTCAAGCATCGGCACAGAGGCTGGCCCAAAGAGTAGACGTTTTGCTGTCTGGGGTTATTTTGGCCACTGGGCATGTCTGAGGTGTGGCGTGTGTGTGTGTGTGAAAATCACCACCCAGGGGATGGCTGCACCGCAGTCCCTCCTCCCTTCTCCTCCCTTCTCCTCCCTTCTCTGTTATTCTTCTCTGGGGTATTCTGGGCATGTAGGCACATGCGTCCAGCATGATTGTTAAGCTGCCGGGTCTGGGGCTCTGCTTGTCGTTGGCCATGTGGGAGTCTAGCACCTTAGCTCCATGACACATGACCATGCTGACCTCTGCTATTCCATTTTTAATGACGCCTCTAAACTAGTTCTCGCATAAGTTTGTTTTAAGTAAGTTCTCGGTTTTACAATGGATGAGTTCCTATAAGGAGGAATGTGTTCTCACTTATCAAATACTTTCATACTGTGTTTTGAGACTGTAAAATGTGTGCTATGCACCTGGATCAAGGTAGCCTTATAACTTAATGCAAGTCATGAGTTTCTGCTGTAATTTCTTGAATTCTGAACATAGAGTTCAAATAACAGTACAGATTATTTAGAAATGGTATGTGACTACAAAAACGTTTTGATTTGTTTCTGTCTCAGTCTCATGAAGCCAACAGTAATGCAGTCAGATTTAGAGCTTGCCAAATGGTCAACAAGCTTCTGAGGAGTATGCCAGAGAACGCCCAGATCGACGACGACCTGTTTGACAGAATTAATGAAGCCATGCTTGTTCGGCTGAGGGACAAGATTCCCAACGTGAGGATTCAGGCAGTGCTGGCTCTTTCCCGACTTCAGGACCCCAAGGACGATGAGTGCCCTGTGGTTAATGGTATGTGTAGTTTCCTAAGTCTTTGTTCAGTTTCGACGATTTTGGTGAATTCTCAGTAGCTGCATTTTTAAAGATCGTGAACTGCATCTATGGAGAGTGTGGGTAATGCACGTGTGATTCAAGTACGTGGGAGAGCCACCCAGGAGTGATCTCCCAGCTCACACGCAGAGCCTGGGCAGTGCCTCTGGAGCCCCGCTCGGCCTGTCCTGCACCTCACCCCAGCAGCACCCCGCCCCCTCTCGGAACTAGCATCATCCTAAATGTTAGGTGTTCTCTTGTTTCTAAATGTTTTTCTTTCGTATTTTAATTAACTCATCTCATCTCATATGTGTATCTGATCTTTTCCTGCGAGTCACCCTGTACTTCTCACTACCTCTTTTCACTCAGAATTACCAGGTCATCAGGGAAGTCATGACGCGATTTTCTGTCCCAGCAACCCAGTAGTTCTAATTGTAGATTCTGATTTCTTTCTAAAAAAACATACAGCATTCTCTGGTGTGCGTCTAACAGTTTATTATTTGTGATGGTGGCAGCCTTCGTTGTTTCTGGTTATTTTGGTCTGAAAAGCAGTATTGTTATGAGCGTTTTAACGGCGCGGCCTCTGATGCACCGGTCAGAGACTGTTCAGGGTTTGTAGCTGGGGCAGACTTGCTGGGGTATATATCCAGCTCAGCTTTGTTAGGTCAGGTACATCTACTTTACAAAGAGCAGTCAGTGAACATTCCCAGTAACAGTGCGTAGAAGTATTTATAGACCCATGTTCTCTCCAGTGTTTGTTGTTACTAGATTTTAAATACAGTATCGTCATACCTCTTTTTATGTATTTAGTAGCAAATTTATGTATTTTTTTTATAAAGCTTGTGAGAGTGCTTTGCCCGTTTTTCTGTCAAATTTTGATTTAGAAATCAATTTCTTTTAAGAGTGATTTTCGCTATAGGGCCTGTGCGCTCGCCAGGAAGGCAGAAAGTGAGAAATCACCCCTCCCCCCAGGGAGATGGCCATGCTGCACTCCCTGCTCCATTCTTCTCTTAGGGTTTTGGGCATGCACACACACATGCCTGCGTGAGTTTCAAGCCTCTGGGTCCAGGAATTGAACTGCAGCAGCCATGTCGGAGTGCAGCAGTGTACCCATTACACACTCTGCTGGCCCCTAGATAGCCAGTTTTGATCGATTTATGTATTCTGGGGAGAAACCCTTGGGTTACATGGATGATAAGCTCTTCCTGCTCCGGGAGGCTCATTGTTTCCTGGCGAGAAGAGAGCCTGAGGGAACCCCTCCTTCTCTTTTTTCCTTGTGTGCATGCATGCACTATATCATGAAAAAGAGAAAATGTGGGCTATTTTATGACCACAGTGAATAAAGTACTCGCTTCGTTACTAAAATAAGTTGCTTCCTTTTTAGCATATGCCACCTTCATTGAAAATGATTCAAACCCAGAAGTCAGGCGGGCAGTGTTGTCATGTATTGTACCATCAGCAAAGACTTTGCCGAAGATCGTAGGGCGTACCAAGGACGTGAAGGAGGCTGTCCGAAAGCTGGCTTATCAGGTCAGTCAGCCCAGTGTCTTGTGGAGCGTGTTTTTTAAAGAGAAGCCATTTCCTTTTAGAGAGATTTTTGCTACAGAGCATGTGCACTTGCCGGACAGACAGACGCAGAGAGAGAAAGTGAGAAATCACTCTCCCTGGGGCGACATTTCTCCATTCTCCTCTTGGGATTTGGGGCACAAATGCACACATGCCTGGCATTAAGCCGCAGGATCCAGGACTTGAACTGCAATCAGCTGTGTGGGAGTCAAGCAAGGTAACTACTCCGCCATTGCTGGTCCCACAAGCCATTTTCTTAAAGTACTTTTGAAAATTCTTGGCATGTGATTTCTCTAATTGCGATTTTAATGAGAACAGATAAACAGTATCTTGTTGTAGTAAGTGTGTTACTTGGATACTGATTCCTCTCGAACTTTCAGAACCATTTCTTTTCTTTTTTTTTTTTAAATAATTTTATTTAACTTTATTTATTTATTTTTAATTTGACCAGAGGGGGACACAGAGAGAGAAAGTGAGAAAGCAAGCCTCCAGGTCTGGGACTTGAACCGCGGTTCTCCATGTGGGAGGGAGTCCAGCGCCCTTAACCACCATGCCACCTGCTGGCCCCCTCAGAGCCATTTTCTAACATGAAGGTGATATTACCAGATATGAAATCTATAACTCATGCTGAATTTAATGACCATCTTTTTATTATTGTCTTTTTAAGGTTTTAGCTGAAAAGGTTCACATGCGAGCTTTGTCTATTGCTCAGAGAGTGATGCTCCTTCAGCAGGGTCTGAGTGACAGATCAGGTAAGACACCTTTAATCCAAAACCTAAGTAGATTCACAGTTTAGACGTAGGATCGAGTGTCAGGAATGAGGTCGAGGAAGCCCGTTGTCTCCGTAGCCCTGTTGAAGATTTTGGTGTATGGTATAGCAGGGAATGCAAAGATCTCGGTACCGTGAAGGAACACGGCTTACCTACTTATTTGCCTGTGTTGTTCAGAGGGAAAAGATGCTTAAATGTGTGGAGCCAATTCATTTCAGAAGCAGAGAAAGTCTGTCTTCACTCGTCCTTAAAAAAATGCTCTTGCCTTTCTGTATACATTGATATGAATGTATTTTGGCCATCAGAAACAACACTTAGGATTGGTCAGGCCAGTATCACTTTTTTCCTTTTAAAGAATTGTTTTATTTAACTTTATTTATTTATTTTCAATCTGATCAGAGAGCACAGAGTGAGCGAGAGAGAAGGAGAGAGACAGAGAAACTGAGAAAGCAATCTGCCAGGTCTGGGACTTGAACCGTGGTTGACCGTGTGAGAGTCCAGTGTCCTTAACTACCACGCCACCTGCCGTCCCCCAGACCAGAATAATTTTCTTAGGTTTTCTTCTTTTCCCTGTGTGTTAAAGTACAGCATCTACATACAGAAATATTTTTTGCATTTCCAATTCCTGTGAGATGCCAAAGTGGCTCAGTTTTGCTATAGCAAGAAAACCAACCTGAATTTGAAATCTTTGCTGGAGAAGTAGTGACGATGGTGACCTCACAAGCTCAGAGTAAGGGCTGATCCGTGACATATGCGTCTATGGTTCACTGCTGTAAAAAGCAGTCAGGTGTGATTGGAGGGAAGTGGGTGACGGGGCACAGGCGTGGGCTCACACCCGA